TAATTTTGTCTAATTTTGTCTAATTTTGTCTAATTTTGTCTAATTTTGTCTAATTTTGTCTAATTTTGTCTAATTTTGTCTAATTTTGTCTAATTTTGTCTAATTTTGTCTAATTTTGTCTAATTTTGTCTAATTTTGTCTAATTTTGTCTAATTTTGTCTAATTTTGTCTAATTTTGTCTAATTTTGTCTAATTTTGTCTAATTTTGTCTAATTTTGTCTAATTTTGTCTAATTTTGTCTAATTTTGTCTAATTTTGTCTAATTTTGTCTAATTTTGTATAATTTTGTATAATTTTGTATAATTAACATTAACATTAACATCTAATTATATTTAATTATGTCTAATTTTGTTTAATTGATTCTAATTATGTCTAATTTTTTTAGCTTTAGCCAATTTTCTCTAATTTAATCTAATTATGTTTAATCTAATCAATTGTTTATGACATATTCGTTTTAAACCAAAAATACCATCGAATTTAAACGTTGAAGTTCACAAAGAATATATTGTTTTATATTTTATTTCGATTCTCACGTCCTATTATTCACAGAGATGTGATCAAGGCGTTTCTGTCTTTGTTTAATAATTAAATGTTAACGTCTTATACATTTTTAGATACTTATTACCATATCAGTGTATGGTGTACAGCAATTACTTTCATTAAAGTTTCGTAATATAAGTACCTATTTTGTAAAATATGGAAATTAATTACATTCTATGATATCAATTTCATATTTAGTTATCTTCTAATTTCATATTTTGGAATAATAGTCATTACTCGTGGAATATGTGTAGGTAGTTTTAAAAGCCAAATGTGCTCCAAATAGGGCAATATTTATTAAATCTAATAACCATTTACATAATAACATAGAATATCTTTAATCCTCAGATTTTGAAAATCATTTTTCTAGTGTAAACAATTTAAAACTTGAATTATACATCAATCAGCTTTTTTAATAAAAATATTACTTTTTGCTGTGCGAAAAATTAAGCTAAATGCTTGGTTTTATCTATTTAACTGTTTAAGTACATATTCTTAAATAAAAAAAAGGTTTTCTCTGATTTATTACCTGACCTAAACTCTGACGTCAAATAAAATTGATGTCTCCTAAAAAATGCAGAATATAATACCATTGATGTCCCTACATCATTCATTCGTTTCTCTATCCTGTTTAATTTACATGTGGGTGTAGAAAAATGTTTCAACCAAAAATATACGTATAGCCGGTTATTTATAAATGCAGATATTTCTTCCCATTCTTCTAATTGGCATATAAAAACTATATAATAACGATTTTAATATAATATAAACATTGTATTGCAATGATAATTAATATAATATCCCATTCGCGATAAAAGAAACTGGTCTATGAATAATTATTGAACTCATTAGACTTAACCGCATTTTTATAATGTAAACAGTTTACCAAATCTGTTTTTATTTTTGCTAAAATTATGCCATTACCAAATGAAAGTGTGCCTAAAGATTTTAGTGAATTACGATCACCTGTTTGTTCAAAAATTTTAAAAAGAGTAGAGGAAAAGCAAATTTTTTAAGAACAATAACTGAGTGCCCAGGGCCGACAAAAGGGGTGGCAGCAGGGACTATAAAAAAAGTCTATTTTTATGTATGAGAGAGTAATAAAACAGCATTTCTAATGCGGTCATTTTAAATATTTTTACAGAATAATCTAAATATTTCTTAAAATTGTAATAAATGTACTTGAGCTATTACAAGTTTTGGGTCTTTTATTGGGCCTTTATAAACATAAGCTGTACAGGTTTGGACAGGCCAAAAGCCCTGTGTATTAAAGATTACATAGCCGTATCTTAAGATTATTTTCAATAAGGACCTATTTGCCAATTTTGTTTTATTTTAATTCGAAGAATTTCTTACAGTAATCGAATTATAAGTAGATAAATACCTTCCCAACAAATTTCACCGAAAATGCGATTATAGGTTTTCCATTTTGTAAGGAGGTCCAAGTTGTGTATTCTTGACAGTTTACTTAATGTCGTGTAGTTGCAACTTGCAAGGTGCAGTGTGAATTCTAGTGTGATCATGGAAAATTTGAAAGGGTTGCGTAAACGACAAAAAATCAGTCCTTCAACAGTTAATGAAAAAATATTAATATTTAATTGTTTTAAATCATTTACAGACAAACATTTATGTAAAAGTGTTGATGACACAGTGGAATTAGTTAGTAGTACGCTTGGTGTTGGGAAATCTACGATTTACAGAGTTGTTAAAGAAGAGAAATGTGGCGAGTTTCAAGCAGCATGTAAAGCTCCAGGAAAACCAAAATTTCAATTAGAAAATCTTTTGAAAGAAAGACTTCGAAGGAAAGTGCATGCGTTCTTCTTTAGAAAAGAATTTCCGACAGTAGACAAAGTTCTTGCCACGGTTCGAGATGATAAGGATTACCCTGAAATGAGTCGAAGCACACTATGGAAACTTTTAAAAGAAATAGGTTTTCTATGGAAAAAGCATTCCAGAAAGTCTATTTTAATAGAAAGAAGCGATATTGTAGTATGGAGAAGAAATTACCTAAGGACTATAAAAGAAATGAGAAACCAAAGAAGAAATATATTTTATTTAGATGAAACATGGATCAACGAGGGACATAAACCAAATAAATTTTGGCAAGATGAAACTGTTACAAGTCGAAGACAGGCTTTTTTAAATAATTTATCTACTGGTTTAAATCCACCATCAGGAAAGGGGCGCAGACTAATAATAGTTCACATCGGTAGTTCAAACGGTTTTGTTAAAGGTGGTTTATTGACTTTTGAATTTACTCGTACCGGTGACTACCATGAGGACATGAATGCTGATGTCTTTAAAGAGTGGTTCTAACAAATTATAGATCTTCTTCCTCAGAACTATATAATAGTAATGGATAATGCAAGTTATCACTCGAGACTTATAGAAAAAATGCCCACAACCAAGTGGTTAAAAAAAGATTTACAGAATAGGTTAAATTCAAAGAATATTAAGTTCCATCCCGGTTCTGTGAGAAAAGAACTGTATCATTTGTGTTCCCTTATTAAAGAGAAATTAAAAAAATACGAAATTGATGAAATTGCAAAAAATCGTGGGATGACAGTGGTTAGATCACCACCATATCATTGCGAAGTAAACCCGATTGAACTGATATGGGCACAGATAAAGGGAGAAGTTTCAAGAAAAAATAATTCTTTTAAAATGAGTGATGTTAAACAGTTGTTTTTGGAGGCTGTAAATAATGTGAAGCCTGAAAACTGGGAAAAGGCAGTAAATAATACGATTAAAGAAGAAGAGAAAATGTGGAAGTTGGACAATATTACGGATGAAATGATCGAGCCACTCATTGTAAATATTGGTTGCGACAGTTCATCTTCTGATTTCGATTCTGATTTGGATTTGTAGGTAAGAAGTAGTTTTTATATTAAAATTATTATTTATGAACGTAACTTTGTTTAAAAGTCAAAGTTTAAACCCTTATACCTACATAACCCGTTTGACACAATGTTCTTAAAATACCTTGTGGAAAAATAAAACATTTTAGAAAAAATTGCACTTTTTTACCTTCAGCTGTTTAGAAGTTATAAGCAGGTTAATTAGGTGAAAATATAAGTGTATACTCGAGGAATAACTTCAAAAAATATTTTAACTATCTACTAAAAGAAGTGATACGCCTATGGATTACGAACGCTTTATTATTTTAATACTCTCTCATACATAAAAATAGACTATAATTCCCGGGGCCTGGGATCAAATGGGGGCTTGACAGCGGCATAAGGGGGCCTCAGAAATTAAGGAAACACTTTTTTTTTTATTTTATAAAATTGTCGCGGGACTCGATCTGGAGAATTGTCCTGAGGTCCGACGTGGCTCTCGGCGGCCTTGTGATTGCCTACTAAACAGTCAGGCTTTAGGGCAGGATACAGCTGTGCAAATTATCTAATTCGATATAACACATGTAATACATGTAATTATATTTTTTAATGAAGCCATCAAACCTTCACGATTTAAGAGTTCATGAACTCTTATTTGAAATTAATAAAAAATGCCTTTCGGCGCTATACTTGTAAAATTTGATATATTCTCAAAAAAATACAAAAAGTTTCGAAAAATTTTGCATAAAAAAATTATTTCTTTTTCGGTTTTAAGTATAATATAACTGTTTTAAATTATATTTATATACATTGTGATCCATTAGTGTGAAAAAGTCCAATATCTCCGCCATTATTAGAGATATAAAAAATATTTATACAGAACGGTAAATAGCGTTAAACTTCATATTTTAAAATCGAAAAATTGTGCATGATATAGGTCATTGAATTCAATACGATTTTCATACAAAACTGATTAAATCCAGCAAAATACCCTGTATAAACCAATAAGAATTTATATTTTTAAAATGGGAAAATCGAGGGTAATTCAAATATAAAATAAAATACAGGGTGATTCATTAAAAAGAACATAAGTTAGTTCCAAAGGGAAGTTATTAAACACCCTGTATATTTAAAAATAATTTTAAAATATGTAGTTTAACGCTGTCTACCGTTCTGTAAATATATTTTTTTTATCTCTAATAATGGCGGAGATATTGGACTTTTTTATACTAATGGATCACCCTGTATGTAGTAGGTAAAGTATAAATAATTAATTAATATAAATTTAAGTAAATTTAAAATATTCAGTTATTCATCATAATTAAACAAAATAAAATATTTTCTTACAAGTTCAATGATTTTTTTATAATTATCTAATTCATTTTGAAAAATAAAATTTCATTTTTACTCGAAAGCAAATTATCAAACACGATCGTATATCAATAAATTTTTATATATTAGTTTCAAAAGAGAAATAAAATTTTGATGGCATCAAAACCAAAAAAAAGTAAAATGTGAATTTTTCGATAATATATTTATAATCATTTCGAAACAAACTAATTTTTCCAAATCTAATTGAATAAAAAAAAAAATCAGAAAAAACAATGGGCATATATAACAAACCGTCTTCGATTCCATTGAAAACATCCTCGAGTAATAAATAATCCAAATCAACAACCTCAAATTGTCACTTAAATGATCATTACCGTTTTCATAATAACTATATAACATGCACTTGTTTACACTATGTACAGTTACTCGATAACTAATAAGTATTAAGTTTATATACCCCCCTTCACTTTAGATGGATCGGCGTTTGAAGTTGCGAATAAGAACCACAATAACCTTTCGAGTAAATGTGACAAAGTCAAAGTATTTCGGATGTACAAACAAATTTGTTTGGATTCAGAATAGTTCTTTTTTTGTGGAATTTTTAAATCCAAAACAGCAGAATAAATAAAAATACAACTAACTGGATTTGAGTTAAATAACGTTCTTAATTATTTAAAATCAACGTATTTTTTGTATAATTTTTTACTTATTCTTCATGTGGGCAAATATTTATACAAGGTATTCCAAAAATATACCTACAAACTTTCAGAGGTGATAGGGGATATCAAAACGTTTAATAATAATAAATAATAAATAAATAAGCTTTATTCAAACCATAGTGAATGTATACAATCAAAACAAGAAAATTATAAATTGAATAAAGCTAAAAGACGATAAGCATAAAGATAATTGTTTCGGCAAAAAAACAACAAAAATACGATGTAATTTCACAGATTGCGAACAAACATAAATTAATGTAAAACTTATGTACTAACTAGTTGAATGATTGTTTGATCGATTTGTAATACCTATCTAATAATAACAATATCATTCTAATAATAACAACAATAAAAATAGATAATTTTAATTATAGTTATATTAAAATATTATCTTAGTAATATAAACACATTCAAAAAACATAAAACACAAATGGGAAGGATGTTAAGTGTATTACTCAAAAAGTCTTTGTAAAGTAATTCGCGGATTCTGAATAATAACATTTTTTAGTTTTTTTTTTAGAAAGAAATTTGCTTAAAATAGATTTAATTTCTGCAGGTATGGTGTTGTAGAATTTCGGCGTTAGAAATGTAAACGTATTTTGCGTAGAAGTTTTTATCATACGAGGAAATATATAACTTTTTTTCCTGCGAGCATTATAATTGTGCTCTGAAACGCTGAAATTTTACATTTTATATGGTAATAGGAGCAGGCGTGCATAAAATATAATTGTCTCAAGTCGAGTATGTTTGTTTCCAAGTAAAGAGAATCAGATGGATATCTGAAGGGTTTATCACATATTATTTGAAGAAATTTCCTTTGAATTATTTCTAAGCATTTTATATAGGATTTAAAAGCAGCCCCCAGGCACATATTCCGTATCGATGACTTTCTATAAGTGCATAATACAGTTTTCTTAAATGTTGTGGAGGTAAGATTTCTTTAATTGTTCTAAATTTAGAAATTTTATTAATTTTTCCTTTTGTAATAGTTCAAAGTTTTTTGACATATGAGTGACTAACGATACAGGTCTGTAGTTGTTTACGTCCGTTTTTCACCTTCCTTAAATATCGGTACAACTAATGCAGTTTTGAAAATTGAAGGAAAGCAGCCCACTTCGGAACTAATAGTTTTATTACCATTACAACCTGCTGCTTTATTATCTTTTAAATTGTTAATTATGTCTCTGACTTTCTTGGTTCTATAGTTAAAATAAAAAAGGAAAAAAGGAGTTCGGAACGCGTCTTGCTTTTCTTTATATTTAAGATCTAATTTTTTTAGCCAAAGTTTTACCAACTTTAGCAAATCTGATATTAAACTCATTTGCTATTTCTTTTTCTCTTATAAGAAGCTCTCGTGATTCGTTTTTTATTTATTTAATTATTTTAGAGTTGTCATTTTTCCCACTTATTTCGTTTACTACGTCCCATAATTGTTTAGAGTTATTTTTATTATAAACATATAAATAAAATAAAATTACAATAACTGTTGAAAATGTTAACCGTGTTGGTTCATTGAATTGCGGTTCCCATGGAATATTTCTGGAATAGCTTCTACATCTGTAGCCATTCCTCTTGTTAAGAGATCTTCCTCATTAAGAATACGCGTTTCGTAGACTTAAGATTTCAGATAAGCCCAAATGAAAAATCTAGTGAATTGAGATCTTAAGCACGACACAATACTTCTGGTTTTTGATAACATGATTTAAATTTAAATTTTAGTTAATCCTTTCCTATGTAGTTGTAGCTACACTCTTTAACCTCCATATTTTGTCAATTATGTTGCAAAAATCGTTTGGCAAAATAATATACACAACCGTACTTTTATTTTGTTCTCATTTAAGTTGGTATGGTAGAAAAGTAATGATAAAATTTAAGTTAAACAGTTGCGACCCTGCCTCTATTAATGGGTTACCTGCTAATGCCTACTAATAATGCATAACCGAAACAGATATCAAATAATGAAAAAACGTTAATAGTATTTTACGTTACAAGTACTGTAATAACACTTAACGGACGTGTGTCGTATGATATTTTATTTCATCCTGTCTTTTTAATACTTTTTAAAAAGAATAAATAGATATGTTGATTAAAATTAAAAAAATAATGAGAAATTTTTGAAATTAAGCCATTGTTTCCATAGTAAATAATGATTGCTATTTACTGTCAAATAGATAAGATTCAAATATTTGTGTTTGAAATAAAGTGAAAAGTAATTGTTTCTAAAATAAAAACAAGGTTGTTAGGCAACACGTTACAGTATCTAATACTGTTATGTACCATTTCCTGGAAGCGAAAGGTATATCCAGTGGATATTGTCATTTTTTAAAAAAAAATTTATTTATTTTTTAAAGTATTTTATTTGTTTTTTTGTTTTTTTTTATTATTTTTTGGTTTTTTTGTCTCACTTAAATTTTATGATTATTCGAAATTAAATGTACGGGGGCGCATTTGTCCCGACACCCCTACGATGTTTCTAAACCCACATAACATCAATGTTCTATGATTATACTAGGAACGTTCTGTTTATTTTCTTTTTGGTATGTTCTTCCTGAGAACATACCTAGTATATATATGTTGAAAGTATATTCTAGAAAGTATATACTAAGTAAGTACCTTAAGCACGTGCTATAACAGGAAATTTTTAGAAGATACTAAAAATCATATACCGAGCATGTAGCTCATATTCTGAGAATGTATTAAATGCTTACAGGTAAAAATTAACACCAAATACATGTAAAAATACGTATATACATATCTATATGAATTTTTCCCAGATGCCGATCTGTTTGTCGTATTCACACTTTATTTACAGAAAAACTCAACATATATTAAAAAAATTACATCTTTAACCAATTTTTTCTCAAATCTTTTCATGCGCGTTTTAAATGAATATTTTGTGACTATATATGAGTATTCAATTAGTGTAAAGTGTAAATAAAGGCACTTTATTGTTGATTGCATTTTTGATTTCCCTCGTATAAAGGAATTTATTTTAAATTTAAATTTAATTTTGTATCTGGTTTTAGATAAAGCACCAAATATTATTAAAAAGTCATCTTATTAAGAAAACGGTGAAAAATGAGTCCCCCTGTATATATAATTTATATTTCTGTAAATTGTAAATATGCATGATAGTATATTTTTCTCTAAATTCAAGACAATTTTAAGATATGGCAACACGGCGTCGAAACTTTTGCTACTTTTGCAGTAGATATGGGATCACTTTGGAACACTTTTCTGCCGTGTTAATTCAAATGGGCCGTATCTGCAATTTTCCTTGAAATAAAGATACGACCACTACGCCTGACAACAATGAATTTTTTGTTTATCTCTATAATTTTCATGGATATATATTCTATAAAATCCGAGATTTAACGCTTAGAAATTTAGGCGTGAGTGATTTTTCTTGAAAAATTGATTTTTCTCACGTTCATGTATTAAACAGATACGCCCATTTGAATTAACACGGCAATTTGGAACTGCGCATGCGCGGATATGGCTGAGAAGTTGGCTAAACTAACGACAAATGTCAAATACCGATCTAACCTTACATACGTCAACTGTCAACAGTGTTGTCAACCTGACCTGAGATTTGATAGCTACGAAGTTGCCTAACCTACGTGTGTCATCTGTCAACGTTCTAACCTAACCTATGGCATCTGTCAACAGCGTTGACTGAATTGATAGCTCCGAAGTTGGCTAACCTTACATGTCAAAGCGGCCATAGCTCTGAAGTTGGCCAACCTCTCAAAGCCTGTCAAAAAGTCATCTAACTTGAAGTATAATTTATAACCACCGTAACGTAACTCGTAACTTAACGCCGTAGAAACTTAACGTAAGATATAAAAATAAAGTCTATTTATAAATGTCCATAACGTACGAGCTGAGCATGCGTGTTGTATTTCAGAGATTATTAAATTACTGATAACCTTATGAAATAAACAAGTGTAAACTATGTATTTAACCTCTAAATAAAACTATATAGAAAGAATATATTAACTACTTTAAAAGCAGTAATATTAGAATATAATAAAACAGAATAGTTTACCGAAGATGTTGATTATTTCTAATATCTAAAGTATCATTTTCTAATAACAGAGGCAAAACTTTTGGCACAAAATGCGTTTAAACTTGCAGGCAGCAATGTAACTATTATATTCTCTCCGACAATACCAGCCCACAAATATACAGAAAATTCCTGGTGTCTTCTAAAGACTATATCATTAAGATTTTCATCACCACAAATATGGCTGTATCTACTATTAAAATTATCATCGCGCGTGAAAAATGATTTATAATAAATTGCTATTTAGTTAACCATTCAATCTGTGACACGTGCGTTGACAAACCTAGACAAACCTAAGGAATTATGAGGATGTGACGGTATTCTATACGACTTGGGTTTGAATGGGGGCTGAATTTTTAAAATTTAATTATAAATTAATTACAAACACAAAACACAATTATTGTGTTTTGTCTTAAAGTAAAATAATAATAGGAAGTATCTTCATTCATTTAATATTTAATATAATCTTTTATAACCACTAACATATTTTCTATAATTAAATGAACAATTCCTTTATTTTTTATAAATAATCCAACCATTTCCTAATAAGAAAAGTAAGTGAAAACTATGAAAATAGTAACGGTTTTATATATATGTAAGTCAAGCACGCATAT